AAGATTCGTGAATATTGGTCCAACGAGCTCCCAAGTTACTTTTCTGCTTGGGGCAAACTGAATGATGCTTAAAACAATTTTTTGTTACATACGTTCTGTTTTGTGTTCTGTTACTTCTGACACTTAAAACAATTACGAAAAACCAAAGATATTTATCACAAATCTAAAAACAGACAAATATATAATACTAAACTACCTTTCAAAAAATGCTAATTGCAGAATTGCATCAATATAATTTCATCCGAAAAAAAATAATAGAGAATCTAAAATACCGTGAACCTTATGCATGACATTGCGATTGAGTGACGGTCTTCTATTTTACATGCTTTAAAAAATTCCGCTGAATAAAGTAAATATTATTGATCAGATTGAATATGATATGAATAATGATATATTATTCCGCTGAATAGAGATATTGCTGATTAGATTGAATATGAGATGAATAATGATATATTATTCCGCTGAATGGAGATATTATTGATTAGATTGAATATGATATGAATAATGATATATTATTCCGCTGAATAGAGATATTGTTGATTAGATTGAATATGAGATGAATAATGATATATTATTCCGTTGAATGGAGATATTATTGATCAGATTGAATATGAGATGAATAATGATATATTATTCCGCTGAATAGAGATATTGTCGATTAGATTGAACATGATATGAATAATGATATATTATTCCACTGAATAGAGATATTGTTGATTAGATTGAATATGAGATGAATAATGATATATTATTCCGCTGAATGGAGATATTATTGATTAGATTGAATAGGAGACGAATGATGATAGATTATTATTGAAGTAATAATTGGTTAGATCAAGCAATCAGTTTATTTTTGAAAATCAAATAAAATTCATTAAAAGCATATGTAAAGAAACGTTTCCTGTCGGTCTCCATTCCCTCGCCAGTGAAGTTTAGTGGAGAGGAAAAGAAATAGTCAAACTACTTGAAAGAAATAGTCAAACTACATTAGTAGTCATTTTACATGTAAACTCATCGTAATGTCTAATTACTTAATTATTGTGTTTAGACTGAAGTTCTAAGATTGCCATATCCTTATAGTACAAACTGTACTGACTACATTCGAATGTGGAAAAGAAACAATGGTACAGGACCTCTGACAGAAGTGGTAAATACAGAATTTTTATTCAATTTTAAATTGCTCGTTGCTTAATTATTTTAACCCTTTGCACTCGAAGTCCTTTCAACAGTTTAAAAAATGGACGCAACCACTAACAATTGGAAAGAGTTTTTTCTAACTTACCTTATAATACCCGGAGATCACTGAATGAAGTGGTAACTAAACATGAAGATAAAAAAAAAATCGCAATTAGAGTGGTGAGTAATTTATAGTGGTAACTGACAATCACCTCTCTAGTGGAAAGGGTTAATTCTAGTTTTTGGTACTTTGTAACTTAAGGTATATTAAGCATATTCCAGATTTTAATGACTTGCGCGCTATTCCCCCCACTAAATAAAACCAAAATCATTTACGTAAATCATTATTTACAGTCATTAATTGATGATGCTGGAAAAATATTTCGATGTCAAAGTCAAAAAAAGTTTTTCTTGTAGAAAATATTAAGTTATCTATCCCTTATCACACATTAATTTTCTTAGATGTCCTCCTAAATATTTTGAATGCGTTTGCAGGGGGTATAAACAGCAATGGACAATTGCAGTCAATTTTTTTTGTGTTCTTAATGAATTCAGAATGATGGAAAAGTCCTGAAAAACATCTTTTTACCTCCCAAAAAATGCTACTTTTTTAATTAAGAGCAATTAAAAATCGTGTACTTTCGTTTTCAGTTTAAAAAGGAAGTCACGTGACTTTTAAGAAAGTGACGCCATTCGAGCCTGACTCGCGTTTGTTTACACTTTTTCTCCTTGGTGATTTAACGCTTGTTTATGTGCCTAGTTGAACGTCGTTTGTTTTTTTAAAAATATATTTTAAAATCGAAGTGTATTGCTTCTAAAATAGAAGGACACTTTGGGGGAAGATCTTTGATATCTTTTTTACCTAAACTAGAAGCACGAATAAATTTTTGGGATGAACCAACTGATGAAAGTTTAGATTTTTTCCAATAGCATTCTATTTCTGTTGGAGATGGTAGCGAACATTTTCGGTGAACCCAGAAAAGATATGCTATCATGTGCTTGCATCCTCCTGCGCTGGCTGCACAGTTATCGCACACTAATGAGTTTATGACCCCAGAAGATTCATCACATGTCAAAGTTATTGCATATGCTTTGGTTTTTATTTTATGCTCAGGAGTCATTTTCCCTTTAACAATGCAGATATCACTTTCTCGCTTAACTTGCACATAGCCTATAGCATTATCCCCATATGTTTGTCTTGCTGATCTGAAGTTAAAATATATATATATATATATATATGTGTGAAAAAGATGATTTAAAAACTGAAAAACAGAATCTTATTAGACTAAACAACCAATTGAGACAGACCTGGCCTCCCCAAGGCCATAGTGTCGATAAAGAAGAAGAAGTTTTTTATAGCTTTCCTATGTCCATGTAATATTAGTTTGTGTTAATCGCTATTTCATATCTTTCTTTTCCGTAAAAATTCCAAAAGTTTCTGGAAACCTTAAATTATGAAATAGTTATTTAATATAAAATTTAGTATACATTAATTTTTTCTTTTTTTTACAGAATAGGGATAAAAACTATTATATTTTTTTAAATCCTTCAATATGCACACTATCTGCATAACTAGACGCTTTAAAATATAATGTAATAAAAATCTTTTTGATTTTTAATACATCATTCATAAAATGTACCAGTATCTTTCAAAATGGTTCATGTTATTATTTACACCTTGGATTTAACACTTTAAAAAATATTATGAAGCAAAACTTATTTTTAAATTTAATAAAAAAATTCGATAAAAAAACATTAGCAGGTGTAGTTAAAGTAAAATATACTAAAATTGAAGATGTGTATTTATGTTTGACAGTAGAAAGGGTAAAAATATTCTATAACTAGCTTGCCTCTGACTATTTCTTTAATTTTTTTTATAAATTAGAATCTAATTTTCTTTAATTTTATTTTATTAAATATTAATTTTTGATAAAACAATAATTTTTAATAAAAATAATAGCTTATTTATTTTTATAAAATCGTTTATAAATTATTTTTAATAAAATTGACTTCAATTAATTTTTAACTAAATTAATTTTAATAAAATTGATTGTAATTATTACAAAGTTGTTTATAATTGGTCTTTAATAAAATAATAACTTTAATTCAAATTAATTTTTAATAAAATAATACATTTTATTAAAATTAATTTTTAATAAAATAATTTTAATAAAAGAGTAAGTATAACGTTTATAATAATAATTTTGTGAGTAAGTATAATTATTTGTTTTTGTGAGTAATAATAATTTAGTGTGTAAGAATAGCGTTTAGTTTTATACTTTTATGAAAGTGGAAAGATGTTTTTAGTATACTTAAATCCTTGCTATATTTTAACGTGTACCTATATGTGTTATAACAAATCGCCGTTCCATTTTCACACACAAAATTATTTACAGCCAGGGGCGCCGGTAGAATAAAATATAGGGGGGTGCAACCCTTTAACAAACTACCATCCCCACAAAAAAAAAGATTAAAACTATTCTGTATGATTGCAATTCTTGTTTGATTAATCAATTTTTTACATAAAATTTTATAACTAAATTGCTTTTCTATTTATTTTTAATTGCTTAAAGAAAATCCAGGGTAGTGTAAGTGCACCTCCTTGCCGACGCCCTTATTTACAGCTACAGTTTATAAATAAACAAATTTATACCTTTGAGCCTTTATGCCTTTGATTTCAGGCGAAATGAAATCTTGGTTCGTTCGAAAAAAATCCATAATCATCTCTTCAGTAACTTGCGGCAAATTGTCCGTTTGAGCTTTTTGAAACCCCTCTTCCATTTTGATTCTATATATGCAATAGATTTCAAAATATTTGCTGCTAAATACGCATTTAAATACACGCGGGAAAATTTGGAAAAAATAAGTTAAAGAAGAGCTAGTTAAAACCGCAAGAAAGAAAATACATAATAACAACGGGAAGGTCGTGAGGAGTAAGGCTCTAATGACGTCACACCAATCAGCGGTCGTTTTCGAGTGAGGGCGTTTTCGCTCAAATTAAAATATTAATAATTAAATAAATATTTATTTGTCAGAGTTAAAAATTATATTTTCGTAATCAGGAAATCAATCTTAAGAAGTAATGACTATAATTTGGAAAATTTAAGAGATGCTGCAATTGTCCATTGAGGCATTTTTAATAATAAATAAGAATCCCATTTTATTACTATATTGCATATTAAGCATGATTAGCTCTATAGTTTTTCACATTTTATTACTATATTGCATATTAACCATGATAAGCTCTATAGTTTCTCCCATTTTATTACTATATTGCATATTAACCATGATAAGCTCTATAGTTTTTCGCATTTTATTACTATATTGCATATGAACCATGATTAGTTCTATAGTTTTTCCCATTTTATTACTATATTGCATATGAACCATGATAAACTCTATAGTTTTTCCCATTTTATTACTATATTGCATATTAACCATGATAAGCTCTATAGTTTTTTGCATTTTATTACTATTTTGCATATTAACCATGATAAGCTCTATAGTTTTTCCCATTTTATTACTATATTGCATATTAAGCATGATTAGCTCTATAGTTTTTCCCATTTTATTGCTGTATTGCATATTAAGCATGATTAGCTGTATAGTTTTTCCCATTTTATTACTATATTGCATATTAACCATGATAAGCTCTGTAGTTTTTCGCATTTTATTACTATATTGCATATGAACCATGATTAGCTCTCTAGTTTTTATGCTCAAATGAATGTGGGAGGATTTACAAGATTAAGCTTTTTTTTTTTAATAAATCCGTAGACGGTTTTAAATTTTGGATCAATAACAATTTCCTTTATTTTATATTTTAAAATTAAGCTTTTGGTTATGAAATGTTTAGCTTCGTTAACTTAATTTTGTTTATACAGGAATGTATTGAATATTGTAAATTGGACAAAATTCGTTCTTCAGGATTATGCGTTGATGATCAAATTGCGTATTCGCACATGGAGGAACTTTGTGAAGAGGGTAAGCTTGATTTATTGCTTAATTAATGTTCCTTTTAAAGTAAAAGTTTCGACATTTTTAATAACTACTAAATTTTAGCGAAAAACTTAACCATGCAAAAGCTTTAAATCGATTATTTTTTTAAATTATTGCATGAAAAGTTACTCACATTTTATCATTAATTAATTCTTACTTGTACTCACAGTACTTGATCCTTAATTTTGATATAAAATTTGCAGATGAAACAACTATGACGAAGGAAATTTTAGAGCATTGTAATTCAATGTGTCATCCTGCATGCCAGTAAGTCAAAAGAATTGTTCATTACATTTGAGATCTTTTTGATTTCTGATTTGCGAAATAAAAGAAAATTTGTCACATACTTTTGGAAGGCTTGGGGCAGTATAAGCAGTATAACAATAAGCAACACTTTCTCAAAAGGTGACATTTTTGTATCATACTGTTCCTTTAATTGCAAGTAATAATAGCCACTCGCAAGCATTTGATTACTTTTTCAGGGTTTCCCTGGAGAAAAAAAATAGTTACTACATTTTCTCAAAGCTGTTGAAAAATATTTGAATTTTGCTTCTACTTGAAGATTGCCTAAACTTACCTACAATTTTTTACTCACATATGTGTCTTCTTTGAACTAATTTTTTAATAGATATGAATAATTTGAAACATTATTTTTGGTTTCTCAAATTTGCAATCCCTTTATAAAAAAAAATTTCTTATTATGAAATCCCAGTTTTATTTCATTGACCTTAAAAATTTTAACACATTGCATTCAGGAAACAGCACAGTCATAGTCTGGAAAATTACCCTAGGCTTTTAGGCCCCGAAGGGTCCTTTTACCTTTCCATCGTGATCTTGATTTTGCGCCTATATGATATTGTGTTTTGCCTATATGATATTGAGCTTAGCGTCTATCAAAGATAGTGGTGAGGATCCGAATTAACTTGGCCCTTGGAAAGGTCTTGTGTAAAATTAAATCTAGGTATTCGGGCCTTAAAAAAGCCCTTTTTTTGGGGGGGGGGTAATAAGTAATAAGTTTAATTAAATTTTTTCGATAGTATTGCATCGCTGGGGAGGAAATGAGCACTGGGTCTAATCTTAGTATCTTCTCTGAGCATTTCTGCTTCAAATATTTTATTGAAATTTGCTGCTTTACATTTTAATGCTTTCTTATAAAATTGTGTTTAATTCTACTATGGACTCAGTAAGGGTTTTAATTTTGAAATCTCTGTGAATTGCGGTGTTTCTTATAAAATATGGTAGGCCGCACATTTTTCTGAGTAATTGATTTTGAAAGGTATTTAATTTCTTAGCTTGATTTTTATTAAAATTGCACCATGCGGGGGATGCATAAGTTCAAATTGGTCTGATTTATGTAATATAAATGCAACCTTTTTTTTAAATACATTTTTGAATAAGGGCCCAATAGGCAATTGAGTTTGTTATGAATACCATGGGCTTCAGCCACTATTGATTTTATGTGATCATCCCAAGTTAATTTGCTGTTGATTGTCAGCCCTAAGAAGGTGGCATGATTTACTATAGGGATTTGATTATCGTAAAATGTTAGATCATTTTGAATGGTTTGTTTCCTGGGTTTTTTAATTATTAATAGGTTGGATTTTTGAGCATAGATATCTATTTTCCAGTTTGTGCACCAGGTTTCAAAAATATTTATTTTGTCTTGTAGTTTTTTTATTGAATTATTTTTGGATTTAACTATTATGCCAGTATCATCTTCAAAAAAGACAGTAAGGCTATTATGATAACTTTTGTTTATTGGAAAATCTTGATTGTAGAAGAGATAAAGTATGGGTCCAAGGATACTTCCTTGAGGCAGCCCAGCTTTGATGTTACGTTTTGTGGAGAGTATATCATTAATTTTAAATGCTCTATTGTTAAAATGTTTTCAGTAGTAAAATAATATCACTACTGAATTTTAATTTGATTAATTTATTAATTAGTCCTGCATGACAGACTCGATCAAACGCATTTTAACATCCAGCATAAGAAATGCTGAGCATTGGAGAAACAAAAAATGCAACTGCCAACTACTATGTTTTTTTGCAAATTATTTATAGAGTGGTGAACTACTGCTTTCAGAATTTTGCTAAATTTGGCTTGTCATAAAATAAATCAATTTTTAAAACTTCAGCAAGGTGGCGCTTTATGTGAACTTTTAAAATATTCACGTGTAGAGGGGGAGCACAATTTTCATTCACATTTACAAAACTGAGAATCATACATTAAAAGAAAAGTTTAGATATAAACGAAAGAATTTTCATACAAAGCACAAAACGTTGAAAATATCCTGCAACTTTTTTTAAATGTTACTACTCTGGTACATATGTTTGCTGTTTATACTTTTATTTATCTATTTCAAAAAATTCAGTGATGATTTTTTTTCCTAGCGAGGAAATATATGAAGTGAAATACGACGAGCTACAATTCCTTCATCACTTGGTAAGGAAAATTATTAAAATATCATGTAATTGCAAAAGTTCGTGCCAGACATGATAAAGGCCATACAGAAAAGATGTTAGATTTTAATCGTTTTGTCAGTTGATCACATTAAAATTGACGATAATAATTCCTTTGCAAATATACTCTTCCTGCAATTCGGACAGGAACTAAACTTTTGCAGTAACTTAAAAAATATTCCTTCCCGTTATTTTAAATCGATTCCAATCGAATTCAATAAAAAGTGAAATGAGCATAATCAATGTAGAATTTTGTGCCTGACAACTTAACCAAGCCGTTAGAAAATTTAAATTTCGATTTTCTCATTTATTTTTAATTTCTTTCAGGTGAAATTATTAAAAAATGTGCAATCGTCATTTTCTTAAGTCAGCTACAAATGTTGGAAAAATGATTTAAAAAATAATCTCTTTGAATTAAGCGCATAAAAATCAAATTACCATTTTTTTTTTAAAGCATCTTAGTGCTTGGTTTTATATAGCTCGAAAAATAGTCATCAAATTCAAGTTTGATTTTGATTCCATTTATTTTTAGCTTGTTCTCAATTTAAAATATGAAAAATGGGCAGAATTGAATCTTTCTAAAATCAGATACTGAGTCGGAAAAAAAATATTCTGAAAAGAATTAAAAATATTAAAATCAGTTTTCAAATTTTTTCAAAACTTGCGAGAGCTTTGATTGTACCTCGGAAAAGAATCTCAAAATTTAGGTATGATTTGAATTTATTTATTTTTAATTTGCACTAGTTAAAATAATGTAAAAAAAATATGATCATTAACATTTTCTTAAACAGGTTGATAAAAAAAAAAATTATCTCTTTGCATTCCGGCTTTACTTTTCTCTTTACTTTTTGACTTTACTTTTCAATTTCATTTTTTTTTTTTCAAATCTCGTACTTCAACTTACTTCTTTTTATTTTCAGTGTAAAAAAAAGGATGAAGCTTGCAAGTAAGTAAGAAACAAACGATTTTATGATAACAAAAAAAGTTTACGGATATAACAATTTTTTTCCCTACATACCATAATTCATTACAACTCCACATCATGAAGATAATGCCTTACATTTCAATATCACTAGTTTAATAAACTAAAACTAGAGATCAAAGTTTTTCTAGAGTCTTTTTAAAAGGATAGATCCTCATTTGTGTCATTCGTTTAATACCATAATGTATTGAATAAGAGAAATAAAAATACACAAGCTACATACTTTGTTTCTCAAAATAATATTTTTAATTTATTTTTTGACTGAGTGTACGAGTCTATAAAAACGAGTAGATTTGCATACAGACAAGTCTTTATGTAAAATACTTAATTGTTTCTTAAAAATAACACTTAAGCAAAAACAAACTGCTAACTTAGCGTATTTCATCATAAGCTGAAATGTATTATCGCCTTCTCCTACCACTTCTTATGTTGCAGAGAAGTGAAGACACTTAATAGTCATTCAAGTGAATTTTAAAACATCCTAGTTAGGAATACATTATTAAATTGCAAAAAAAACTGAACTTGTTGAGAAAAATTGATTACAGATTTGAAATCATCGACGCGAAAATATCAAAGATCCGTTCAAAAATTTCATGTACGAAAGAAGGGATGCTGTCAAAAAAAAAATAAAAAAATGATGCTACAAAGTGTTATCAAATGGAATTTTATTTAATATTCCCAATACATGCATGATAAATGACGACAATTGAAAGTGTGAGAAAGAAACACTGTTGATTAAAATACATCAAAGAGACTGTATGAACGCTGATAAAACGTCGAAATATTACTAAAAAAAATAATATTGTAAAAAGTATTGTAATAAGAGATTGATTGAAACAAATGCTTATTCAGGACTTTAGAAAACATTATGTTGCTTTAAGAAATTATTTAAAAAAATTTAAATTCATGTATTCCAAATTGAATAATCCAATTGTGAAATGAAATTATACAATCGGATTGATTCAATTGTACATATAATTAGATTGAATCACTAGATTAAAAAATTTGATTGAATCATTAGATTGACTATATCATTAGATTGAAAAATTCTTGACATTTGTTTACATTGATGTTTACATGTTTGCTATATTTTTCAGAAGTGCATTCATTACCCTCCAAGTTTTTTTTCGAAACTTCAGATTAACAGAACGCATTTATGAGCCAAAGTATAGGGTAAGTTTTAGACAATTTAAATTGAAAGGTTTATTTTAAGCCAATAATAATTTCATTTTATTAGAAAACTCTAATCAGTGAAAACAAAAATAGTTTACTATTAATAAGCATATTAAATTTTAGTTCTGCATAAGCTGAGGGGGGGGGGCAGCTCATATACATAATGTTCCATAATTACCATTCCTAATTCCTTTTTTTTTTTAGAACTTTTGTCATAAATTAAATTAAATCTGGCAAGGTTGTAGCGTTTCATGCTTTCGTGTCACAGGTTTGGGGCTCTATCCTCCAACCGGTTAGGGTTGACTCATCTTTTTCACCTTTTCTCTGAGTCGATAAAATGAGTACCAACTTGGGGACGAAACCCTTTTGAGGGACAGAAGACCCTGGCCCACCACGAACTAAAACGCCATTGAGATCAGTTTTAAGTTTCACATTAGGGGTCATAGCTAATATTTAATCAAGGAAATAAATGCTTTTGAAAGCCATCGCTATTTACAGAAGTAAGATCGAAAAAAAAACATCAAAACCAGTGTAATTGCCAGAAATTGAAGCTGTTGAATTTCTAAATAATTAAAATTAATTTTGATAATTACCTATCAACTCCTCTTAATTTTTACCATCCATCCAAAATTTGTGTATGCTTGTAATCCTTCTTTTCCTCAATGGTAATTTGTCAGATTTTGATAAAGTTTTGGACAAATTTAAGACCCTTAATGCACTTTATATAATTTTTAACAAAGATTCTAATGTTATATATTTAAGGTGGTGATTGAAAAACATCCCATATTCGAGTTGTCCAGCTGCAAAACATGATAAGCCCTTTCGAGATTTGTTTTGTTTCTTATAATTTGAAAAAGAATAACGTCTCTAGCATTTACTTCCGGCGGGAAAAAAAAAAGAAAGTTATTATCTATACGCATAAGAGTCTGCCAATAACAGATATTATTTCCATTATTACAAATGTATGTATATGAATATATTGTAGATAAAATCAACTCGAACTTCCCAAGGAATCGTACTGTATCTAAAATAAAATAAAAGTAGCTAAAGTAAGAAAATAAAAATTTATTTTAATAAATTGGTATTCACCACCACGCTTTACATTTTCAAATAAATATGTTTAATTGCAAAATCTGTATTTAATGCATTTAATTTTTAAGTGAAAGCAAACAAAAAGAAATTTGTAACTTTTTTATTACAATGTTGATATCACTTTTTAAATTTTTAAAGGACTGTGCGAATCTTAATAAATGAAAGCGTTGATAATTTAGGACATAAGCGTTACTGCCAACTTTTACGCATTTCAAAAAAGCTTTTGCAATCTGGTAGTAAACTAACTATTGGAGTGAAATTGTAGGCTAATACTTTATTTACCTTTCGCCATCAGGTGAAAAACTATAAAATATCCAGAGATGCCAACTTGCTCCGGACAGCAAATATATTTTTTAAAGTGGTAGTTTATCAATTGTGATTCCTGGTTTAACAAAATGAAGTTAGAAGATTTTTATCTACCACTATTTCCAAATAATTCGAAGGCTTATACTATTCCCCACTTTATAGTGCTCATGCCATGCTATGCCTTTTAAAAAAGCAAGCAAAAATAGTCAAATATTTGCAAAATTTACTTGGTAGTTAATTACCGTTTTTTTAATTATTTTGCCGTGTCCGGAGCAGTTGGCATCTCCGAATATCTAGCTAGTCCTCTTTATGTATTTTTAAACTAATTAAATGCAAAGGTAATTCAAAGCGCATCAAATCAAATTTGTTGAAACTGGAATCAAACATAGAGAGCAAAAAGTTGTGCAACCACATTTAATATAAAACTAAACTCTCTCGTAAAACCCAAAAAAGTTGGCAAGTATGCTTAAAAACTTGTAGTAATTAGCTTCTTCTTCTTCTCTTAAGCATTAAAAAATCGTTCCTAAAATAATTTTTGCTCTCAAATATGTTCACTTTAAAGTGAAATTTATTTTTATAAATACAAATAATTTAATACAAATGAATATTTTTCAATTTTTGCTATTACTTCAAAAAAAATTTAGATCATTGCTACTCTGATAAGATTATAAGAAATGGCACCAGAAAGAAAAATAATAACAATGTACTCAAGATGAAAAGCTTCAGCAGCGTTCAAAAACTGAAGCAAAATTACGTAACCACGTACGTAATACGTTATCTACGTAGCCTGTCCTAGGAAGTTACAATGGAAATCTACTTGGCCCATTCTAGAAGGTTGCAATGGAAAAACGGGAATCTGTATGGTCCTTCCTCGGAAGATACAATAAAAAAATCGAAAGTTACTATAGAAAACAAAAATCTACATGACCAGTTCAAAACAGTAAAATCTGGGTAAAAAACCGGTAAGAAAATCATTTCATTCCAGCTTGTTCCGGAAAAAGTAGACTATTCAAGACAACAAAGATTATTTTAACTGTTATAACATACATGTAGGACTGTTTCTTGCTCGTGGGAAAGTATTTAGTGATAAATAGTTTTTTTTAAAAACAAGAACATATTTTATTCCTCCCATAAACAATCTACAAATAAAGTGATTTTCCTTTCAGTTCTTCCTCTTTTCCCTCTTACTTTCGTCTTGGTGACAAGGAAAAACATAATGATAAGTAGCCCGCCTTCGAAAAAGATCATCGGCAAAACATGAGTTTGCGTTCTTTAAATTTTTCATTGCATTCACCGTCTGTTAAATAATAAGGGCAGTGAGTAACTGTGCATAATACCTCACAAAATGGTAATGGACACATCTCAAATGATATATTTTTCTTGTATTTTACAGGAAGTGGAACTTTTCAGCTACATCGGAGGATACATGGGAATGTGGCTAGGATTGAGTTTAGTTTCAGTGTTTGATTTCTTCGAATCACTTTGCTTAGTGCTTTATTACCCTATCAAGAAAAGAATCAAAAAGGACAACTAACTAAAAGATGCTATTTAAACTTGCCAAAGAGGAAGACTTCAAGAAACACTTCGACATTTACGTTTTTATTTTATTTATTTGTTCATTTTATTTATTTATGTATTTATTTTTTATATTTATGTATTTATTTTTTATATTTATGTATTTATTTTTTATATTTATTTATTTTTCTTAACAACATGTTTACTTTAGTGATTGTGAACAAAAAGAGAAATGTTTGTAAACTCAGGATGCTCAGTAATCACTATCGTTACATGAACTTTTAGAATTATGTGTAATTTAAAAAAAAAAAAGTTCATTTCGGGTCATAAATTGATACGATAAGAGAAAAAAAATCGATTTAAAAATTTGATGATTTAATAACTGAAGAGAGCTGGAATAAATACGTATCTTGTGTATTTGACGAGTCTACTATCTCTGCATTACACTGCTGAGAAGAATATATGATTCGCCTCATTCAGGCCGAGCAGCTCTCATTTTGAATCGATCTGAATAAAAATTTGTTTTACAGTGAACCGGCGTTGTCTATGATGCGCTTTCCTATTAAAAATTCAGACACTGTTATAATATCAAAATCTGCATTACTGCCGGAGGAAGCAAAGAACAGTTGAAAAGTTATTAGTAAAAATACCTTCCCTTTTTTCCAGCAATCAAACTGGTTTTCGTGTTTTTTTACAACCATTGTTTTCAATAAATATTTCTCAACTTTTAATAAGGCTTTTTCCTTTCTTAAATATTTATTTGCTGCCTTTTATGATAAAGTTTTTTTTTACTATAATTTGGACCAAAAATTTTGAAAATCTCTTATGATTAGATCTGTGATTGTGGAACATCCTGTAGAAATGAATCAAACATCAACAACGTTTAACATAATTTATTTATGAATACAATTTATTTATTAATATTGGTGGTAATTTCTTTTTCAATTCGAAATTGTTTGTTCAAGAAAAAAATAACAATGCATAATATTTGCTGCTATTAGATATAATCCTTTGTAGTTGTGTCGAAAAAATACTCTTCCGATTTCGTCGTTAAGCATCGACTGTAACTTTTATATCTGTAAAAAAATGGTTATTCGCTTTGATTATATGTTATCTTGTATGAAAGAATGAAATTGTGTCATAAAAATTTTCATTTGCTTAAAATTTATTTTTACCTTCTGCATAACTGTCAACTTTTACAATTTCTTAAAAGAATCTTTTGTAGTGAAAAAGAACTAACTATTGAATTATCATTTGTAAGGAGAATTCGTTCACTTTTCGTCAACACTAACAATTGTACTCGATTTATTATCAAGGCTTTTACATGTGCTATTTTTATTATTCCTTTTTTCAAATATTTATATATAGCATCAAATGAATAAATTATTAAAGCATAAATTTTGCTACCAGTTTATATATATAAAAAACAGAGAATATTTGAAAAAGTGGGCTGTTGTGTGGTGTCTTCTTTAATTTATAATTTTTTATATTTTAATTACATTAATAATATACTCAATTTATTGAATTGTATTTAATTTTTGTTATCGTACTTCGTAATTGCTTAAAACAATAAAAAATTACAAGAACGAAAAGTATCTAGATTAATGGCTATTATCTAAATGCAACAATTTAATAAAATTTTGATTTTAAACAGTGTTTTTTTTTTCTGTAGATCTTAATCACAGAAAATTTGATGTAAAATATAATATTTTTTATTCTCATATAGTCTTGCGACTGCACTGTGTTGAGCAGTAGCTGCCTTCATGTACAGTCTTGGCCAGCAGAATTTTGCTTGCAAAAGCACGATCTTCTAGTAAGATTTATGCGAATTCTATAACTATAAAATTACTTCTCCCTTCTCCATCACTTAAAAGCATAACTTCCAGAGTAGAATGACGTATATAGATTTGTTTGATCCATTGATTTATCATGCATTGGTGTATAAAACAATTTTATTTGGGGGGGGGAGGTTTTTAAGTGCAAAGATAATTGCCACGTTAAAACAATATTACTAGTGCTAAGAAAACGTTTACACATCTATCGTATAAAGTTTTACCATTACCATTGATATAAAAATGACATTTTACAAACATGAAGCATGTTCTCAAAAAGACATAGTTTTCGAACAAAAAGATCAAGCTGAAATTTTTCAATTAGTTAAATAAATTTAATGGCTTCGCTATTAGATTTTTGTATCGCCGTCAAGAGAAAAAGAGAGCCTGATTGGTGCGTTTTCCACAGGGGAATGTATTTCACCAATTAGACTCTTTTAATCTGCTTCAAAGGCGATCGAATTTGCGTGAACCGCAGTTAGTGAGAATGGCTTAGGAAACTGATCAATTTAGGGAAGCTAAAAGCTGGGTTTCACTCGCCAAACATAAAGCTTTAATAAATGTCATATGCACAAAATCCAAATAACAGTCCAAAGGTTTGTCGCGTCGAATTATCATTTTAATTTTTATAACATGGACTCTAATTTTAATGAGTTCTGTGATATTGGCTCAGATAATGATTCAACATCTGAACATGAAGACGAATCTGAACAGTTTCAGTATGTTGTTTTATCAACTGAGCAAATAATGCAACATATGATTGAATGTATACTAGAAGTTAACACTGTCTTCCAGGTAAAATTTTTGTATACGCAATTTTTTTTAATTAAAATGTTTTTCTTGTGGAAAGAAAAATGTGTACTAAACCTTTGACCCCAAAAATTCGAATATAACTATCGAAAGCGAATACCATAAACAAAGGCCAACGATGACAAAAAAAGTGTTAGCAATTTTATACCACAAATCTTTAATAGCGTAAACTGATAATGAACAATTGTTTTCCTGGTGATTGTACTGACAAGAAAAACTATCGCCGCAGATCCTAGTTACTAATTATTAGCTTCCTATTAATTTATTTTATTTTATTTTATTGCTCCTGAAAAGTAACAGCTGATATTGCTATGAAACTTCAATTACTGATCACGTTTCCAAAATCACCAGGGCGCAAAGAGAAACTGCCAGTTCTTGTTCTTAGAATTGATTCTTAAGAAATATGTCTAGTACCAGGGATCTGTCCAGGCCGAATTTACTACCGTTTAGCGGTACCTTCACAAATTCAATTTTAGGAAAAACGGTAGTTTCACAAATTCAACTTTAGGAAAAACGGTAGTTTCACAAAATACTTTTTCTTAAAATTTTATTAATTTATCCCTTAAGAAATGATAAATCTATATTTTTACCATGTTTTTGTACTGACTTTTTAATGTAATTTTCAATTTTTCACAAATTATGCCAAAATTTTCACAAAATAGGTACCTTTCAAAAAAACCTAGACACAGACAGACCCTTGAGTACACTAAGAGTAGACTACAAGATGACTATGAGTTTTACCTAATTTTGTAACTTTTTTTTTTTAGAAAAATGATAAAGAAAAAAATACATCTTTTAAGCATTTTGCGGGAAGATTTCCGTATCGTGATCTGTGGTAGAATAATCGCCAAGTTGTGGCAACTTCCGGGCAGCAGCCCGCTAGAAACTAAAAAAGAAACATCACAGAAAGGGACCTACTCAAATTTTATAAATCGTAGCCAACCCCAAGCAAACATCTACATGTTTTTTTTTTTTTTTAAATTTGCAAGTTCGAAATCTATTTGGCACCTTAACAATTATAGTTGGCGCGACAAATCACGATATGGAAATATGCCCCATTTTGCTGTCTCACTGTTGCCAAAACTTATTTAAAAAAGATTTTTGATGCAATGATGGGTGGCGCTAGGGGGGCTAAAATTTGTCTTAAGACTTCCAGCTTATTACTTCTGATTTATTTTTTTCTCCTAAGTTTAAAAAAGCAAGCCATTCAATATTATTATACCTGTAGTATTTATAATATTATACATTCTTTCAATTAAACTTTTGATTAAGTGAACAAATTTAGAGAACTCTGCAAGCGTGCTACCAAAAAAAATAACATATGTTGATATTTTACGCACATATAGCTAATAAGAGGATGACACTCAAAACTTGGCAAACATTTGCTTTTATTTATGTTGTGATATTAAGTTTCTCAAATTTGTTTACAGTTCACGTACTTTTAGAACTTTTAAATTACAGAAAACTCTTATGATTGGTAAATTTGGGTTTAAATCTAAACACAAATCACAATAATAAGACTTCCTAGGAGGTTATCAAGCCTGTTCACTTATCATCTCATAAACATTACATAAGCGGAGGGATACACTTGAAGTTTTTTATATTTCACCTGATTTTAGGATGCTTGTTATTGTTGACATTAATACAACCATCAATAAATCATTAAACAAACTGTGAAAAGAATTAGGTCTAAATAATATGAACTAAGAAAAAAATGGTTCAGTTAAATGATGAGAAAATATACAAAAATGATCTGTTATAACTTTATTATTTGAATAATTATTTATATATTTGAATATTTATTTATCACTGCAATTTTTTATAGATTCCTCCTACGATCACCAGAATTTTATTAAACCACTTTGAATGGGACAAACAAAAACTCTTTGAAAGGTTTGTTTCAACTTATTTTTCATTCAGAAAATAAAATATTAAATAAGTACGTCAGAATGTCTTTCAGTAAGTGTTATGCAATGCTTAATTCTGTTTTAAAAGATTATCATGCATGTACTAAATTTTTTTTTAATATTTTGTACGAATATATTTCAAACTTCAAGAAACTACTAATATCAGGGCTCGAAAAAACTCAGAAATGTTACCCGTCTCCGAGGACGGCTTGCCCAGCAATGTACCTGTCCTCCTTTTAAACTAACCCGTTGTTTCTAAATAAATAAAAAAATATAATTTTCTCTTATTTATTACAAACATATATATAAATTGCACAATGAATTAGTAGTTACTAAGATTACTAATACTGGAATTACATTAATACTGGAATTACAAAAATGGCCGTCCGCGCGGACGTCGCATTCGAGAAATTCGTTGTCCTCGGGGAATTTTTGACCACCGAGGACGGGCTGTTTTTCGAGCCCTGACTAATATCTTAATCTACTGTGCCTACTAATTTATGTTCTTATTTTCTTTATTTTTAAGTGATTTTATAAAATTTTATATTAACTCAACTTTTAGAAAGTTATGAAGGGCATCAGTTTCGCTTTTATGCTTGCTTAATTTTTTATAATTTAATAGTTGAATTATTTATAACAGAAAAATAAAATCAAAATTGTAATATATAATTAAGACTTTTTTATTTAATTAAAGGTTATAAGCACACCGGACAAAAAATTAGTCACCCTTAGAGAAATTATTAAAAACATTATATAATAACATATAACACTGCCTCTGGATTTGATAATCACTTGAATTCGATTAAGAAGTGAGTCCAGAAGGTTTTGCAGGTACGTCGAATCCAATTTAAGGCACTCGCTGTGGATTTGACAGCGCAAATCCACCAAATTGCGAGAATTCTGATTTTGGCATTTTACCCATTGTTCCAATACCCAATCACCCAATGTGATTAATAGTCTTAATCTTTTTTTTTAACTTTATTAATTAAAATGTTCAACTTTACTCCTTTATTTATTTTTTTAACACCATGCTCACATAACACATGTTTACTATTTTTTTTAAATTATTTTAACAAGTTTCATTCCACAAATCTCATCTTGGTTTTTTTAAATCAAACTTGGAGCATTCTTAAATGCTCAAGTTATTTCCTATCATTTACTTGCTAAGCACTGTGTTTTATGCTTTATTTTAAGCAAACTTTCTTGAATTTGAAAAAATTAGATGTTCTACAAAATTGGATGAACTTTATATCCAAATTTCTAAATGAACTCATTTAAGTTTTAAAAGAAAGCTCCATGTTAGTAACTTTCTTACTCTGAAACAAATTTGAGATTTCCAAATAAAAAATTAATCCTGTTAATCAAATCAAAATAAGTTTTGTTAATATCATAAACATATTTTATAGGTATTATGATGGCGATCAAGAGACTTTATTTAAAGAAGCTCATGTAATTGATCCCTTTAAAGAACCATTAGATTCATCTAAGGTAAACATTTCTGTCATGAATAAATTTAAAAAATATGACATTTATAAGGAACATTTATAGGGCATTTATAGGGATATTCTCTTCAAGCATTTTAATTTGCCTTCATTATAATCATTTGAACAGTATTTGATGCATAAGCTAAATAGTTTCATTTACAATCTTGTACATTTTTTGACTAATTGTGCCAATTTTACATTCAAAAGTGTTTTCAAAGTTTTTTGTTTTAAATTTATAAGTAAATTTATTTATTTTGCTGTTTTCAGACAGACAGAGATTTCAATAATTTTTGCCTGGAAACAAATAAGTAAATGAGTTTGATAACAGTTTCAGTAAACAGTTGTGAATTTTTAGAGCCATTGAACTCAAAATATGTTTAATGCAACCTAAATAACAGGTTAAATTTTCATTAATTTTTTTATTATTATTTTATATTTAATTCATTTTTTAGAACAGTATATGCTTTTTATCAATAAGCAGATATGTAAAATAAAAATAAGGATTACTTTACTGTATTGGTTTATTCTGACACATATTAAACAGATTTAACAGAGCAATACAAATTTAGATTTTTGTCTCATATTATAGCTAGTTGAGACCTGCTTTGAGTCAAAAATCACTTCACCTCAATTTCTTAAACATATCTTTTCTTATAAAATTAAATGTACAAATTATTGTTCTGATTTTTCTGACTGCAAAAACAATATAAAACTTTTGGGGGGGAGATTTTTGATTTGTTATTTTTCAATACAAAATTTATATTAGCATATGAAGTGTATTTTTTCGATTAAAATGTGGTAAATATGTTTTTTTTTTTTTCCTCATTATTTTATTTTTTTTAAATGGAGTCTTATATTAACTTGTAACAGTAAAATTCATCGAGACTTGCATGATTTATTTTGCCTCAAATGCAATTACTAAATATAACTTATTAATGAAAGTTTAGGTTTTTGTCTCATACATGACCCTATTTAATGTGTTCTGATTGCAGGCTTTGTTAAACTTGAAATTTGTGAGTAATTTCATTTGAATTTGTCATTTTTGATGCAATAAACTGTGTAGTATGTCTTTTTTAGATTAAGTAAAATGAACTAAGGAAAGAAAAATAATAATACTATCAACCCAATAAAAAATATATTTTTACTAAATAACAATTTTGAGAGTATGGTTAATAGGAAAATGATATAAGCTATATAATGTGTTAAATATTTTACTCTGTTTATTTCATTTAAATATATCATTTCTAATATAGCAGGCTGGATAATATTCCTTTCCTTTTAAGATCTTATTTTAAGTTCATGATTTGCTCAAGAAAAAATAAAATAAAAAAGCTGGAACAAGAAAAAGGAAGCATATTAAATTGGATCATATTGCCTGACATAATAAAAATCAAAGAATTTGCATTTTTTTTTTTTTTTTTAAATTTTATTTGAAATTGTCCTTTTTTGCACAAAAAGCTGAATGGATTATGTTTTCTTCGTGACATTTCTTTTGAAGGAAAAAAATCTTCAAGGACTGGAATTTTGAAAGTTATTAAACTTTTGTTTACCCTGCTTCTGGTGTTAAAACCTTTTATTCTCATTCAATAGGTTTACCAGAATAACAGAGTCTAAACAAAATAACTGAATAACAGTTGTCAGCAAAAGATAAATAACTTTTTATTCATTTGAAATTGCTTTTGTTAAAAATAATTATAATATGTGTATTTTTAAATTATTGAAAATCACATTGTTTAAGCTTATCTTATAATTTGCTGTTTCTGTTATTAAAAATTTAGGATTCCCGATTAAAACTGCAAACATTAGAATGTGAAATATGTATGATGAATATGGCTTCCACTGTGAGTAATATATTATACTCTGATCTTTAAAATGATTATTATTATTTTCTTAGAAATTGTGCTGTGCATATTCAGGGGTCTGTTTAGAAGAAATTTGGGTCCGTTTACGGACCCTTCACAAAATATCTTTTCATAAAAACGGACCCTTCACAAAATATTTTAACTTAAAAACGGACCCTTCACAAAATGATTTTTCTTTTAATCGGACCCTTCACGAATTTTTTTATCTTGATTGAAACATCTTGTGTATTGTAAANAAAATTTGCATTTTTTTTTTTTTTTTTAAATTTTGTTTGAAATTGTCCTTTTTTGCACAAAAAGCTGAATGGATTATGTTTTCTTCATGACATTTCTTTTGAAGGAAAAAAATCTTCAAAGACTGGAATTTTGAAACTTATTAACCTTTTGTATACCCTGCTTCTGGTGTTAAAGCCTTTTATTCTCATTTAATAGGTTTACCAGAATAACAGAGTCTAAACAAAATAACTGAATAACAGCTGTCAGCAAAAGATAAATAACTTTTTGTTCATTTGAAATTGCTTTTGTTAAAAATAATTATAATATGTGTATTTTTAAATTATTGAAAATCACATTGTTTAAGCTTNATTATAATTTTACAGTATTGAGCATAATCTCGTATGTCTTTACAGTTCAAAAACTCCTTGAAAAAGTTTTTTTTGCAATAACGGACCCTATTTGCACAAATTCATAAAAGCGGACCCTGGTTGAAAGAATATGAGTAATTTTTTCACAATTTCACGAAAAACGGACCTTTCACAAAATGTCTGGACAGACCCCTGATATTAATTATTCTGAAAATTGAAAAATAATACACTTTCATTGTGCTGGAATAAAATGTTTCCAGTGATAGATGAATCAAAGGGTTAAAATCCCCTTGCCATTGGGCTAAGCGTGGGAAGTTTTCCTTCCCATGTAACTCAAATGCCTGTTTGGTGCATCAAAAAGTCCTCCATGAAGGCTAGTTTCTTTGTCTTTTTGGTAATAAAGTAAGCTTATTCTTTTTTATTACCTTTGGGTGTTGCTTATTTATGTTTTAAGAAAAAAGTTCATCCTTTTCACTGTGCATAATAAAAAATTAAAATTTTAATCTAAACGCTAAGGCAAGAGCAACACAATTTTTAAAACTCTTTTGCTTTTCAAGAATATGAAAGCAAGAATATTAGGTGATTTTTTTTGTTTTGTTTTTAATTTAAAGTTTGAGTACTTTTTTGTCAAAAATATTTTTTTCAAAAATTATAAATACATATTTAGGATTTCTAATGTGCATTTGAAGGGATGTTTAGAGAGGTATTTTATAAACTAAGATGCTGAGCCAGGCAAGTTAGGGATTTGGTGTTTTTTCTTGGTCTGTTTTCAGGTCTGACCATGACAGTTATGAATAATATTAATCACTGTGTTTTGTTACTTCACAATAATTGCTTAAACATTTTTATTTTTCTAGTGTAAATGACTAGAAAAGCATGAAACACAGATTAACCAATGTGAATGAGAAACAAACGAATTTCAAAAGAAAGATACTCTAATAAAGGAAAGCTGTTGAGAATTTTAAATCTTTCAAGTTTAGATTTTTGTTATTCTTCATTAATGTATTAATTTTATTAAAAATAGTTTTTGCTATCATTTATGTATAATTTTAAATTTGCTTTGCAGCATTTGAATATCTTGATCTTTTTTTTTTATTAAGTATGGAAAATGTTTTAAATTTATAGATGATGACTGGCATAGCTTGTGGTCATCGGTTTTGCACAGAATGTTGGAGTGAATACCTTACAAACCAGATTATGGATCAAGGAATAAGTCAAGTAAAAAATTCAAATTTTAATATTTCTTTAAACTTTAGTTATTAAAAATTTTTATTATAAATAATTTCTATGTTTTTTTATTATTGTTATTTTAAGATGCATTAAAATGAAGCTCAGAAATTTACTCAGAAATAAATTTCTGAATGAGATGCTTTTTTTTTCTTTTTTTTTTTTTTCATTATNAATTTTTTTTTTTTTTTTTTTTTTTTTTTTTTTTTTTTTTTTTTTTTTGATATAAAAAAATTTTTGAGGCTTTGATGTTAAATCATTTTGAAACATACTTAAATTATAATTGAATTTTTTTTTCCACTTAAAACATTTTTTACTGTTAATGTAGCAGGCTCCTAATGACAATTATTCTAACCATTAACAATCTATTTAGATCTACAGTAGAAATTAAAATGAGAAATAGGATTTATTTAAGCCTAATTAAATCATACAAAACACTGATTTCAGGTATGGAGAATGAGTGATTTCTTTCAACAAATTGTTTTAATACTTCATCATAAACTTGAATTATTTATTACATAATAATATAATATAATAATATATATATAAAATGGTTTTTTGCAATAAAAATTTGACTGAAATTGGGTGTTGTTCCAAAATGTCCTGTAGACATGTGTTATGTCCTTTAGATATATGTTTTATTGATGTAATTATTTTCATTTAAATGTTATTTGATTAGTAGTTTAAAGTGGTTTAAGTTTTTGTAAAACAAATAATGGAATTAAATTTTAATATTTTTCTTCTTTTTTGTTATTTTTAAAATTGTAAAAACTTTTTATCATTTTTTAGATAATTAGTTGTCCTGCTCATGGTTGTGATATTCTTGTTGATGATCAAACTGTTATGTAAGTACAAGACTGTTTTTTTTTGGAAAAATATTTTATGGTACATATCCATATGTTATAGTAAAGTCAGTGTCGTGTTAATGTCAAAAATACATACAGTGGAGCATCGTTTATACAACGTCGAAGGGACCACTGAAAAACGTTGTATATACGATAACGTATAATCGATTTTTTCTTTCAAAACTCGTAACTAACTCTGTTTTCAGTTAATTTTAATCTTAAACGTGTTGATTTACATAAATTTCTAAATTAGACAAAGCAAAACAAACAAATAACCATAAAAAAAAAGAAAAAATACAGTAAGCAATTTGAATGTATGTTACATTTATTTTATTTATTTATTACTATTTTTTTTTAGTACTCCAAATTTGTTTTTTTTTTTTCACTTTAATTATTTCACGTTACGTTTACAGAAAAAATTATTTACGGTTGTTTGATGTGAGGATTGACGCTGAGCTTTATTGTTGTCTTTGTTATCTGAGACCATGCCAACGAAATCATATTCATTGTTTGGAGAACCCTTATTTCCTTGGGATTAGGCTCTACAATGCTTCGAATAGTGAGTTCATCTAACTACTCTCCATACTGCAATTTTAGATTCCTTATCACGGCCAAATCTAATGGCTGAAGCACACTTGTGCAGTTTGCAGGAAAAAGTGAACTTTTACATTTTCCAAAAAATTAGTAACCGGTGGGTGAGCTGGACATTGGTCTATAAATAGCAGAATTTTTAGTTTTTGCCTCTGCATAACATTCTCTAGTTTTTTCAGATAACTAGTAAACATTTCGGTCGTCTTCCACGCATTCTTATTGGCGTCATAATTCAGCGGAAGCGTTTTGATATGCTTTAGACATCTGGGATTTTTTGATTATCCTACCACTAAAGGAGTGATCTTTTCACTTCCATCAGAGTTTACACAAAGCAGCACAGTAAGGCGATCTTTTTTTTTTATGCCTCCTTTACATTTTTTGCCTTTATAAGCTAATGTCTGATTCGGCATTAAATGATAGAAAAGACCCGTGTTTAGTGTGAAGAATAAAAGTAAAATAAATGTAAACAAAATCCATAACCGATCGATACGATACGATAATCCATAATCGTATAACCGATTCTGTGCATTGTATAAACGATATATTTTTACATTAAAATGAATAGGAATGAATTGGGACTCCACTGAAACATCGTATAAATGTAAACGTTGCATAAACGATCGTAGTATAAATGTTTCTCCACTGTACTTCTAAATAATCAAAGTATGATGGAAGTCTATATGAAAATTCAAGGCAAATAATAAATAAAAGTTCATATATGTTTGCCCTTCAAAATCATATTTCTCAATATATTTTCTTTCATAAAGTTATTTTTGTTGCAAAATAGCATTGAAAAATTATGAGTTTTAAAGTTTTTCTACATACACCAAACAGTTCAAAGGCTTACATATGTTTTACTTAACTAAATATTCAATTTTTCTTAAGTTTAAGCCCAGTCCAGAAAACAAGAGTATTTATAGAAATAAAAGCTCAGACTCTTTCTTGTTTCTAGACTTTCATTTGTTTGAGTTGAACATTATCTTCTTTAGGTAAACTTAAGATCTATAACTGTAGTGATGTTTCCTCTCTCTTTTTTTTTGCATCAGACTAAGTTTATACTATTGTTTAATTTCTTGGCCTTATGCATGTAGTTTTTATTTATGCATTTATTATTATTATTTTTTTTGTCATTCAATGAAAATTAATAAAAAATACTTTATATTGATAAATTTGAAATTAAATTTAGTTTTTATGCAGCCTTTGTTCTGCATAAAAAAAGTAAAAAAACATTGCCAATTTATCAAAATAATACAAATTGATTTCTATTATTTTTTTAATCATTTTAAAGACTAATATGCATATTTATTTTTAGGAATTTAATTACTAATCCTATAGTGAAATTGAAATATCAGCATCTTATCACTAACAGTTTTGTTGAGGTAATATGTTATTGCATAATTATTTGAAAAGCAAAACTACTTTCAAAAAGAAATTATTTAATATTTGTTAATTTTTATACTTTTTTTTAGTACTATATAATTTTATAATGTTTAATATGTATAATATTTAAAATGTTTACAATATGGAAGTTTACTTTTTTTTTAAATTTGTTTTTCAATTTTTAATTTTATTTCGTTTTTGTTTACTGCTATTTTTACGTGTTTTTTAATATTCAAATACTATAAAAAAAAATTTTCTATTTCTGATAAATTTAAGTTTAAATCAATGAGTTTTTCTCTGTTTTTAAGACAGAGTACCTCCTTTAATTTCTTTAGATTGAGCAAATTTTTTTAATTTGGCACTATTCCACTCCACACAATATTAATAATTCTAATTTCTAATTGAGCTTCTTTTTTTTCTAAGGTTTAAAGTATTGTCTTTCTTTTATATTTGTGTTAAACACTGTTTAACAATTTTAATGTCTTTAAGAAAAGACATAAGTTGCAAAAATATAAGACTTTAAGTATTGCTTTGTACAAGGAAGAAATTGCATGGACTGATCCTATAGGAGCAGATTATCTCGAGGAGCAGCTTTTGAAACGCCATGGGATTAGGCTGAACTTTCCCCGCAGCGACACCTGTCAGCTGAGTTCCCGTAGTGCAACAGTATTCAACAAAAAGTAATGGCAGCGTGGAAGTGAGGGATTCTTTTCTTTTCCCCCTGTTTTTAGAACATTGATTCGATTTCTTTGTGGGCCCCCTGATGTTCGTCGGTGCATCAGGGAGGCGTGGAGTCTGATTTTTTAGAAGGAATATGATGACATTTTCTTAGGAAGAGATAAATCTATTTACATCTCTTAAATTGTTTTATAATTTTTAATTTGTGGCCTGTGTGGCTGTAGATAGTGATGTTGTGTATTTATACGTTTTTTAATTTTTTTAAAAAAAAGAGTGCTGTCTAACAAATAAAATGTGGTGAGTTTACAAATTTCTGTATTTTTGTTTTATCTGTCTCATGTGTTTTTTAACTCTAGGCAATCCATTCCTTTTCAGCTATTTATTTTTCTTTCAGGTTATTG